TATATTTATAATATGATTATTATACATTATATATTTTATGGTTTATTTATATGTTTACAGACTCATCATAAATAAATCAATTCTGAATAATTAATTGTTACAAAAAAATAAATTTCTCATCACCAAGAATACCATCATACAAATGTATTATTACAGTAGATTATATCATAGTAATCTATTTAAAAAAAAATTTATATCAAAAAAAAAATTCCATTATCAAATCTATTGTTACAAAAAAAATTCTTATCACCAAAGCCCTATTGTTATTACTAAAAAAAATTGATAGAACTACTTAATAGTATTAGAATGACGTCAATTACCAGGAAGCAAAAAAAAGTAAATTTTTTTTGTAACCGGGAACTAACTATTACTAATTAATATTAGTAAATGTCAGTTACTGAACATAAAGAAAGGGCAAAGTCCAATCTATTGTTGGAAAAAAAATTTTAATGAAAAAAAAATCTGACCTGTTGTTAAAAAAATTTCTAAATTAAAAAAAAAATTCTAAAAAAAAATGAAAAAATAACTAAATGATCTATTTAAGAAAATAAAATAAAGTTACTAAACGATCTATTAAAAAATAATAAAAAAATTAAAAAAATTACTAAATGATCTATCGTTAAAAAAAAATAAATTGTTTAATAAAAAATTAAAAAATTACTAAACAAAAGGAAGGCCAAAGTTCGATCTATTGTTACCAAAAAAAAAATAAAAATTACTATCGTAAAAAGAAGAGCGATATTGTTTTTAAAAATTTTACAATTTATTAACTTAAATAAGTTTAATTGTCTATTACTTATTAATATTAGCAAAACTTCAATTACCAGAAACTAAAAAATAATTTAAAATATTTTTATTAGTAATCAACATGGATTTGCTAATAAGCTACTATATGAATATGGAATAGTTCAGGTGCAGACAAATCATGTGTTAGACAATTCAATATTTATACAAGCTAATCTAAACGTTAGGTTATAGGAAATTTTTTTAGTATATTACTAACCTAATATGAAATAGATTAGGCGCGGCAGATCATGTGTTTCATATTACACAATTCAAATTATTTATATACGGTAATCTAAACATGACCAAATTTTTTTGAATATATGTTTATCCAGTACGGTACGAATTTGCAAACCTGTACGGTACGGTTGATCAATTTTTGTGATAATCATTTCGTACCGTACCGTACTGGTTCTATAATAATCTCTTTATATATAGAACCAGTACGGTACGGTATGAAATGATCAACCATAAAATTTAACCAACTGTACCGTACCGTACTGGCTCTATAATAATCTCTCTATATATAGAACCAGTACAGTACGGTACGGTTATTGTTTTAAATGAACATTTTGGACATTAGTGTCCAAATTTTCAAAATGGACATTTTGGACATTGGTGTCCAAATTACAAAAATGAACATTTTGGACATTGTGTCCAAATTATTAAAATGGACACTGGTGTCCAATAATTATATGCTAAATGTACCGTACTGATTTTCTCTTTATTATAGTGTCAGTACGGTACTGTACGGTCATGTTGATCAAATTTTGTAATTTTGTATGGGGTGATCAACTGTACCGGTTATGCCTTACAGTGTCCGGTCTGATGATCTTTCTGAGTCCAGTCATGTCAATTTTTAGTACAGTCATGTGGAATTGGGTCCGGACCCTCGGACCATGCGGTCCGATGATCCGCTTAAAATCACTTGAGTCCGATTAATTGTAAAGCTTTGATCTACACTGGATTTTTTTTTGCCATTCGCTTCATAATGAGTCATTAAAAAAAAATATTTTTAATTTAATGAGATATTACTATTATGCCATAATGAACAATTATAATGTCATTAATATTATATAATTAATAATTTTAATTAATAATTTCAAATTTGTAAGCCTTCCAAATGAAATATTTTTTTCAATTTTTCATGTATTTAATTTTATAAAGAAAAACATGGATGTAATTAACATTACTGAAAATAATAAAAATAATATTACATTTAGTTCACTAATAGAAATACCAAATGTTAGTTATAAAATTTTCGTGACAATATTAATATTAATGTTATATTTTATAATAATATTAAATACTATTATAATTGTAATTATTAAATTCAAGAAATGTAGATCAGATCAGTCGTGTAAATTTAGTTCAGTCCGATTGATCAACATCACAGGACTCGGCACAATTAACTCAGACCGATGGTAGTGAAGTCCGATCAAAGTTTAAATTCAATCCGCATCAAAATTCACATGACTGTGCTAAAAACTGACATGACTGGACTCAGAAAGATCATCGGACCGGACTCAGTAAGGATATACTCAACTGTACCGTACAGGTTTGCAATTTCGTACCGTACCGATTATCTTACTACCTAATTTTTTTAGTTATATAATAAGCCACACGAATAAATTTTTTTTATTTTGGCAAAAAAATTTTTTTTTTAACAATATGGATTTTTTCAACATACTATATATAATTTCAGCAATATCACCATGGATAAATTTTTTTTTTTTAGACTTTTTTCAACAATATCACACATAATTTTTTTAATATTGTTCTTTTAAATTATATAATGTATTTATATAATGTATGATAAATCTGCATTAAAACAATTTGATCGGTAAATTGATAATAATTTCTTGATGGACTCCAGATTATTGTTTATTAATTGAACAATTCAAGCTGAATGAAAAATGGCAAATTCTGATAGTAGTACAATTTTTATTAGTCATCATATGTTAACTGCGAGTTACATTTGTTAATTATACTTAAAATTTAATTAATTTTACTTTTAAAAAATTTTTATTTTACTCTATATAAATAAAAAATAACAAAGATAATTATAGATCATAATAATAACTAATTTTAAATCAGGGATTAGATGGATGATTTATTATATTATAATTATCAAATAAAAAACTATTTTGTTATTAGTTTTTTACTTTATTAACAAATCAGCAAGTGACAGAAAAAAAAATCACATTATAACAATCTAGTTGCAAAAAAAAACTCTTCAGAAAAATCATATCATAGCAATCTATTGTTATACAAAGAATTTTTTCAAATGTCAAAAAAAAATAATTATTTCCAACCTATTGTTATACAAAGAATTTTTCTGAATGCAAAAAAAATAATTATACCCAATTTATTGTTAAAAAAATTCTTACCAAAAAAAAAATTATTTAGGATCTGCCGGTATTGATCAATAGTTCTAACTATAAAAACATCAGACCCAGGATCTGTAAATAGGTCACATGCATGCCATTCAATTTAAAAAATAATTTATATGGGTTAATCTAAACAAAAAAGAGTCAACTAACTATTAGTATTTATTAATATTAGTATGGTTAATTAATTTATATCAGTAAAAAAGCGTGATAATTGGTAATAACTATCACCAATTAATGTTAGTAAAATGCAACTAAAAAATAATTTTTTATATATTGGTAATCATGAATTTGCCGATCAAATGATTTCAAATATTACACATAAATTATTTATTATTTACTGTATATAGTGCAAATTTTCATTTTTATTAAAATTTTTTTTACTTTTATATTAATAAATAAATCATAACTAATAAAAAATTATAATTTTTAAATAATACATTAAAAACAATGATTATAGTAATATATTACAAGCAATAACCTTTTTATGAATAATTAAAGATGAAAATTATGATAAATAATTTTGACAATTTTATAGAATTGAAATCAACCTTTAAAGTGTTAATCATTGACGCCAATTTTTGAGACCAATACAATTCTGGTTAATGGGTAGAAATGAAAATTTTTATACATCAAAAAATATATGCACGCAAAAGTAATGATAAATTAAAAAATTAATTTAGTCATCCCGATCATTTAAATCACATGTAATTAATTTATGTCCTGACGCTAATTTTAGATGTGTTAACTATTATAATCATAGTTGTGGATTTTTTTTTAGTCATCAACAAAAAAAATTAATAATTTTTACATAACAGTAAATAAATTATCTTTCTTTTTGGCTTAAATATAAAGAAAAGATTTTATAGGTAATGTATTACTATGCAGCTGCAATTCAGATTATGCCGTAGATGTTAGATCATCATTATCAATATTTTTTTTTTGAAACCCAATATAAACAACCGCTATTTGTATAAAAATTGAAATTGACATGATATGATATGATATGACATGACATGACATGACATGATATGATATGATATTCATATACATATACATATACATGTTTTTTTTATAACATGTTTTATAAAAACGCACCCTATAGTTGCTGCATGATGCTAACCAAATTTATACCTCTCCTTCCTTTTCGAGAACACACTAAACCAACTATAGCCAATCATGTAAGATAAATATACTAAATTGAGGTCATCTGACTCTAACAACTATATAGTGCAATCTGCATATATTGTTAATTATGACATATACACGTTAATTTTCAATAAAATGTATACAAGTCGTATATAGACATCATGATCATTTCTTATATTTTGATAGTTTTATTCATGCTTATATTCATTTATTTATTCATTTATTTATTTATTCATTAATTGTTCAATTTTTACACGTAAAAAAAAGTATTAAGAATACTAATTAAAAAAATAAATATTGAAAAAATAAAGTATCTGAAAATTAAAAATCACTTGATGAGGTGCGCCAGGTCGCCAAATAATAATAGCCTTATATTATTATTTTGATAATTTAAAAGATTTATTTAAATTACAAACTAAGAAACTTGTAAAATATTTACTACTCTAGTCTTAGTGTTTAAATAATTCTAAGTATAATAAAAAAAAGTGAAAAGCTATAAAAAAAAAGGAATTATTTAAATTACAAACTAAGAAACTTGTAAAATATTTTACTACTCTAGCCTTAGTGTTTAAATAAATCTAAAAAGAATAAAATAAAGAACAATTTCTTTTGAATGCATAATATCAAATATCACTTAAAAAAAACTATAAATTTTTTTAAAAAACAAACAATGATAAGTTAATTTTCATCAGTTTTAATATCTAATAATTAAATATTAAAAAATAAAATTAATTTCACATAAATAATTTGCAAGATTAATTCCTTTTATATATCATAGTACATACCTGATGACCCCAAATTCTTAATTATACAATCACTCAAATTTTCACTTACTAGTATTTCATTTGTTTTTACACTAGCTTGTGAATCTTCACTTTCAAGAATTTCATTCAACTTAATAATATTCTCATCTGTTTTAATAATTAATAAATTAATTAACTTCATATTAATAATTTGCAAGATTAATTTTTTATATAATATAGTATATACCAAATGTTCTCAAATCTTTAATCACACAATCATTCAAATTTTCACTTTCAAGAATTTCATTCAATTTTTTACTAGTAAAATCAAGTAAGCGACTTGTATAACATGCTTTAGGATGAAATTGAGTAACAAGATTGTTATGCTGCCCAATTGGTGCATTTATAAATTCCATAATGTTGCTTTTTAATTCATCATTGACTTCATCATCTTTATAAGGACGGAAAATCCATTTTTTAATAATTTTTAATACTTCTTTAGAAGCTGGTCTTTTTAATGGATCTTCATTCCAACATTTTTTCATTAAATCTACATAACATTGTGGAGTATTTTCAATAATTTCAGGTCGTTCACCTTTTCTACAAATATCTAAACTAAGTTCAAGATCATGTGCTCTATTATTAAATGGTGGTATCCCAGATGTAAGTTCCCACATAATCATAGAAAAACTATATATATCACTAGCTGGAGTATAAGATTTGCCTCTTAAAACTTCAGGAGCCATAAATGGTATAACACCATAAATATCATATTTTTTCAAAAACGATTTTACAGGTTGACATAATCCTAAATCACTAATATAAATTTTATCACCATCAAACTTATTATTATGATTTAAAATATTACCATCATGAAAATCACAATGAATAAGATTTTCTCCATGTATCTTATTAAGTCCAGAAATAATTTCGTACAACATATATAATTTTTGATTCCAATTATTTTCGACTATTGTTGTTAAATTTTCTCTTAAATTACCTTTATTTGCATACTCCATTACTACCATATATTTTGAAGTATTTGGATCTTTTGTGAATACATAAACATTTATAATATCACTTGAAGCTAAAACACTTGTATGATATTCCCACTATAAAAGATAATAATTATTATTAATATAGATAAATTTTAATTTAAATTAAAAATAGAAAATAATATACTATCATACTTCTTTTAAAAATTCATTTAAATTTTCATTTAAATTCTTGGGACATTTAAGAATTACTTCTTCATCCTCTTCATCTTCTTTATCTCCATTATTCTTTAACCAAATAGCTCTGTATATAGTACCAAATCCTCCTTCACTAAGATGTTCAACATTTTTAAATTTGTTATAAGGAATCCATCTTAATGTTTTTTCAAGAATAAAATCATCTATAATTGCATTTCCACTTTTCCCAAATCTATAAATTTAAATAATTAAAATTATATTATAGATTGTATTATAATTTACACAAAATAAATTATTACTTACTCTAAAATTTAAATAGGAATTTAATGTAATATAAGTCTTAGTTTTTGGATAAATACATATAATAATCTATAATTTACAACTTACCAACTAAAGTAACAGATATTTTTAAATGAAAGAATTAAATTAACGAATAAATATTATATAAATATATAACAATAGGAATACTTACAAGCTAGATCATAAATAATTTTTTAAGTGAAAAAAAATAGATAGTTTAAATTATATGTAAATATAAGTAATAATAGAATTAAATAAATAACTTACTCCCTATATTATTTAATAATTTTTTAAATAAAGAAATTAGATAGTTTAAAATATATGTAAATATTATAACAATAAGTAATAATAGAATTAAATAAATAACTTATGACTTACCAACTAAAATAAATTACAAAATAATTTTTTAAATAAAGAAATTAGATAGTTTAAAATATATGTAAATATTATAACAATAAGTAATAATAGAATTAAATAAATAACTTACGACCTATATTATTTAATAATTTTTTAAATAAAGAAATTAGATAGTTTAAAATATATGTAAATATTATAACAATAAGTAATAATAGAATTAAATAAATAACTTACGACCTATATTATTTAATAATTTTTTAAATAAAGAAATTAGATAGTTTAAAATATATGTAAATATTATAACAATAAGTAATAATAGAATTAAATAAATAACTTACTCCCTATATTATTTAATAATTTTTTAAATAAAGAAATTAGATAGTTTAAATTATATGTAAATATTATAACAATAAGTAATAATAGAATTAAATAAATAACTTACTCCCTATATTATTTAATAATTTTTTAAATAAAGAAATTAGATAGTTTAAATTATATGTAAATATTATAACAATAAGTAATAATAGAATTAAATAAATAACTTACTCCCTATATTATTTAATAATTTTTTAAATAAAGAAATTAGATAGTTTAAATTATATGTAAATATTATAACAATAAGTAATAATAGAATTAAATAAATAACTTACTCCCTATATTATTTAATAATTTTTTAAATAAAGAAATTAGATAGTTTAAATTATATGTAAATATTATAACAATAAGTAATAATAGAATTAAATAAATAACTTACTCCCTATATTATTTAATAATTTTTTAAATAAAGAAATTAGATAGTTTAAATTATATGTAAATATTATAACAATAAGTAATAATAGAATTAAATAAATAACTTACACCCTATATTATTTAATAATTTTTTAAATAAAGAAATTAGATAGTTTAAATTATATGTAAATATTATAACAATAAGTAATAATAGAATTAAATAAATAACTTACACCCTATATTATTTAATAATTTTTTAAATAAAGAAATTAGATAGTTTAAATTATATGTAAATATTATAACAATAAGTAATAATAGAATTAAATAAATAACTTACAACCTATATTATTTAATAATTTTTTAAATAAAGAAATTAGATAGTTTAAATTATATGTAAATATTATAACAATAAGTAATAATAGAATTAAATAAATAACTTACACCCTATATTATTTAATAATTTTTTAAATAAAGAAATTAGATAGTTTAAATTATATGTAAATATTATAACAATAAGTAATAATAGAATTAAATAAATAACTTACACCCTATATTATTTAATAATTTTTTAAATAAAGAAATTAGATAGTTTAAATTATATGTAAATATTATAACAATAAGTAATAATAGAATTAAATAAATAACTTACACCCTATATTATTTAATAATTTTTTAAATAAAGAAATTAGATAGTTTAAATTATATGTAAATATTATAACAATAAGTAATAATAGAATTAAATAAATAACTTACACCCTATATTATTTAATAATTTTTTAAATAAAGAAATTAGATAGTTTAAATTATATGTAAATATTATAACAATAAGTAATAATAGAATTAAATAAATAACTTACAACCTATATTATTTAATAATTTTTTAAATAAAGAAATTAGATAGTTTAAATTATATGTAAATATTATAACAATAAGTAATAATAGAATTAAATAAATAACTTACTCCCTATATTATTTAATAATTTTTTAAATAAAGTATTGGTTAGATTGGATTGTACAAATAATATAAATATAAATATCATAACTTACACCCTGTAGTATTATAAATTATCAATTAGTTAGATATAAAGATAATATAAAAGTAATTATTGTAAATTATATATATATTACTTACAATCTAGTTATTTAAATTAAGAATATAATTAGTTGAATTATATAAAATATTAAACATAAATTGTTTATAAATAAAAACTTAATATTTCAGCTTATTTGATATACCTTCAATACGTTGGTCCATTACTATATCAAAATTATCTCTAATTGGAAAAGATAAAGTAAATATCTTTTTTTCTTTTTTTTTATTATTGAGCGTCTTTATCAGTATAAATAAATATAGTAACAATATTTATGCAAAATACATTATGTGCAAAAATGGTGATCACAATTTACAAGTACAAGCATTGCATCATTGCATATATGACAAACAAACCAGAATGTAGATCAATTATTACAAAATTGCAGTAACTGGTTAATCATTTCATCTTAGGTAATTATTAAGCACCAACTAGTGTACTTTTGGATATAGTGAGTGAGTTTATTTTTAAAAGTATACTTATAAATTAATAAAAGATTTTTTTATAACAATAGATTGTGTTTAGTGAGATTCATAAAAAAATCTAATGAGATTTTTTTTTAGGATTTTTTTTTAATAACAATATATCTGTAATAGACAATTAACTTATTAACTGAAGTTAATAATTGTTTTTAGTAAGATTTTTTTTATAGTTCACAGTAACACTAATATTACTGATAAGTAATATAAATAAAAGATTTTTTATAACAATAGATTACATTTAATAAGGTTAATAAAAAAATTTTCCAAGATTTTTTTAATGGTATAGTACAATAGATAGATATAATAAAATTTTCTGAGATTATTTTAATAACAATAGGCATGATAAATTTTTGGTGATTATTTTTTTTTTAATAACAATAATAGATTGGTATTATAGTACAATGGATGGTATAGTACAATGGATTGATTTAATAAATTTTTTGTGATTTTTTTTAATAACAATAGATTTGTAATAGATAAATCAGATCGGTTTTCAATAATTACTGGTCGCAATAATAATTGTCTATTACCAATCTATTGTTATTAAAAAAAATCACCAAAAATTTTATCATACCTATTGTTATTAAAATAAATCTCAGAAAGTTTTATATCTAGTATCTATTGTACTATACCAATTAATTTGTCATAAAAAATTCCAGAAACTAATCTCATTTATGCATCTATATTACTAAATTAATTACAGTACATAATTCTATATTAAATCATTTCTTTATAGTTTATAATCGTTCATAAAATTATAATTTTTATCTGGTTTAAATTTCTTAATAATTCCTTCCTTTTTATATAATTCAATCATATCATTAAATTGATTATATTCAGTATTGACCGAATATAAACATAATGATCTTCGATTTCTCCAATTATTTAAAAATGAATCCAAAGATTTAATTTCAAATTTACAATAATCAAGTTCTAATTTATGTAAATTAATTAAAGAAAATTCTTTTAAAATATTTAATAATTCATCACCACAATAATTTAAATATAGATTATCAGTATAAATTACTATTCCTTCTAATAAAGAACAATTAATTAATAATTGTTTAAAATCTTCAAGATAATAATCTTTTAAAAATATTTTAAGATATTAAGATTAGAACAATATTGTGATATTGTTCGAATAAGTTGACCATTTTGATCTATATTCTCAAATTTATTACACTACCCATGTAAATTTCCTTCAGTATTTTGAATAATTTTAATAATTGTAGAAAATGATATTGAACATAATTGTAAGATTTGTAATTTAGGGTAAAATGAAGAAATAAATTGTTTATCTAAATCTAATCTATAAAATAAACTTCCATGTAAAATTAATATTTTTAAATTAATTAATTTTAGTAATAAAATATTTATAAAATTTATATTATTTTCAATTGTTAAATCTAAATAATTAATAGTTGTTGAATGTTTCATAATTGCTTGATAAATTAATATATCATCATCTTCTATCATATAAATAATTTTTATATATTTCACTTTTAATTGTGACTCAATATATATTTGAATTTGTATATATGAATAATATGATTATAAATTTTCGAATAAATTTACATATTTGAGTCAATTTATTAAAAAGTAATAAATTATCATTACTTTTACATTGTAATTCTTGAACTTTTGAAATTCTGATTTCTACTTCTGGATATTTATAAAATGGTTGTAAAATTCCAATAATATCCAAAAATTTAATATTTGAACATTTAATCATGAAAATCTTATAAATTTCTTGTATTATTAAATTTCGTTGATGAAAATGAAAAATTTTATCCATAAATATTACTTCCATTTTTAAAATAAATTCTATGTTTAATATATTTAGAAAAAGTTAAATAATCAAATAATAAAGGATTTTGTTGAAAATTTAATTTTTTAAATAAATTAATCCCTTGATTTTCCAAATAATTTCTATAAATGTAATAAAATAATATTTAAAAGTAATTTTGAATTTTAAAAAAAAATTCTTCATTATTTATTTTTGATAATATAAACCAAGGATCTTTCCAAATTATTGGTATTACTATTCTACACCATATTGGCATATTCTGTTAACTAATAAACATGAGAATAAAGAATTATATGTTTATTCTCATATAATTTTTCAATTATTAAAGTAAGACAATCTTGATTGAGAATCATTTTTCGTTTAAATTTATTAATTATTATGAATTATATCGTACTTATACCATATATATATGTTGTAGGTGGAAACGGAATCTATGTGGATTCCGAATCCATATATGTGGATACGGGATGTTGGCCAGAATTAATGCATGGTGCCGGACTAGAATTTCGTAATGCTGGCCAAAATCCGATTTCCACCGGTATTCAGAAACCACATACAACATATATATATTAAAGGAATGAAGTTTACACCCTCGTTGTATGGTTACGCCTAAAAAAAATTCATGATGATAAATTTCAGTTTTTTGCTTTATATTGAATTAATCTAAATTGCATAATTAGCTCAATAAACTGAATAAAGTATTAATGCCTTTAATTGTAGCACTTATATTTGAGATGAACTAAAGATTAAAACTTTTAAGGATTTAAAAATTATAAGTTCACTTCTTTTATGATATTTTAATTCACTTAGTAGTAAAGATATAATTTTACTTATGCTTTTACTAGTATATACTAAAGTATTAGATACTGAATTTTTATTAAATTCTGGTTTAATGCATGAAAATTTAGTGTGCATAATATTAGTGACCTAAATTTGACACATAATAATGATCGAAGAGAATTTTTTGAAATTAGTAGCTGGTTGTAAAAAAAAAATATTATGTTTATTTTGGACGAAAAAATTTCAATGTAGAATAGGTTAAACCTAAATGTCATTTAATAACATTATTGTTAATTATGATAATTATTATTTCGAAGAATTAAATTTGCACCAATTTTTTTGTTGATAATTATACGATATTTTATACATTTTGTATTGATAATATTATTTTTAAGTAATTTAAATATTAATACAAAAATCATCTGAAAAAAGTTACGGTATATGGGTCAGATGGCCTTTGAACTTTTTTATTGTTTTTTCTAATTAATAGCCGTGTGCGCAGGACTTTCCAAAAGAGTGGCATTAAAAATCATAAAAACGTATGTGACCAATCAATTATCGAAGACAGGTAAAATATTTTGTTAATTTTTAACGAGAAATGCACAACCACTAATTTGGTGTATCATGCATAAATAATTGGTGTAGGACCCCGAACAATACTGATATAGGTAAGGTCCAGAAAAAAAAATTTATTATTAGCTGTACGCAGCACTTTTGACTATGATCAGTACGCATTTATAGCTCCTAACCCCTGAAATTTTTACAAAATACGCATTTTAATCCTCTAACTTCAAGTCAGTTTTTAAAATTTTAATTGGCTCTTTTATTAGTTATATCAAATTGTTCTCTGTCTTCGTCTGCTTTACATCCTGAACATGCTACATGTCTATTTAAATAATCTTCTTCATACCTGTGGTTTAATTTAATTCCTTTAACACATATACATACTACTTTTTTTGCATTAACAATATGAGTAACGTATTTATGTTAGCCAATCACTCTTTACCATATTTCCAATGAAACATTATGTATGCAATACAGAAAAGATTTTTTTCGAAAAAAAAAAAAATTTATTTTAAGATGATCGTTAAATAAAATTAATTATTATTACTTATTTCCAAAAATATACCAAAAATTAGCAAATCCAACATCTTACCATCCTAAAATTCAATCAAAATTACGCAAAATCAAATTCTAACCTTATCAAAATTTTTTGATGATTGTACGCATTCCCAAATTCTAACATATTGAGAGCTACTAAGATGACGACGCATCATCAGCTCCTACCTATATTAGTATTGTTCGGGGTCCTATTGGTGTACTTTTCATTGTATAATTACATTAAAAAAAAAAAAAAATTTCTGGTCCCTATGCCTCAATATTCAATTTTTTTTTAATATTTATAATATTTATTTTCTTATTAATCAATACAATACTTTAATAATTTGGCGTAGTAAAACCAATTATCTTTTTAAGATCAATATTTGTGATTTTTTCCATTATTAAAAAGCAATATGTTAAACTTAAAAATAATATGGTGCAAAATGTGTTTATAAAAATAGAGGAAACGGGACAATTTCTGGATTTTTCCGTGCGGTAAATAAATTTTCAAAATTGAGTTCTCTCATTATCGTTATTATTTAATGGACGGGTTCACATTGATTAAACATAATAAAAATTGATTTTTCCGTAAGGTAATCATGCTGAAATTTAAAAACAGCAAGTATATGAATTATTAAAGTGTGACCGATTAAGACGCATAATTATATTTAGTGTAACTAGAATTTCTTTACAGAATATTATGTTACATTAATTTTACGTATTAACGTTATCGCCTTGTTTGAAAATGAACAATTACTCCAATATGAAAATTTGCGATTAAACTTTTCGTTCAATTGTTAACTCGCCTAATTTTTTCCAAATAGTTAATAGTAACCATACCCTTTATTATGTTTAATAATATAATTTTTTGTATAAAAGGGCATTGAATGAAAAAGGTTTGTAAAAAGTTTCTTTTTTCTTTGATTTTAGTAGATTTCAAATATGTGATTTTTTTTAGATAATCAAATAATCAATCTACAGAGTTAAGCGAAAGTATGTAAATTTACCAAAAAGTAATGAATTAAATTTTGCACTGGTAATGCCTATTAACTAATTAAAGACCTATTATGATAGTTCTTTGAGTGTCAGTAAATAGAAATCTTTACTCAAATAATACTTAGCATTAGAGATTATCATGTCATCATTTGTGTTATTATTATTGAATTTATTTTAAGCTTAATAAATGATAAATTTCAATATTATGATTAAAAAATAATAGTTATTATTATGAATACTTAAGAAGATTTGACATGATACCTGATTGGCTCATTTTATATATTGACACATTTTAAAGTCAATAAAATTTAATTTTAAAATTAGTTTTTTCAGTCAATGTTGATATATTGATTAAATTTTTAGTAAATAAAAGAATTTAGAAGAACTCACTGTATTTAAATGTGATAATTATAATATTTATTCTTCGCATAAAGTGATGATGTATTTGCCTTCTCAGTATCAATAATAGTATTTTGTGTTAATCAATAGAAAAATTGATGCAAAAAATATTATTACTGAAACAGGTAACAATATCATTAAAAAATTTCTTATAAAAATTATTAATATTATCTGTACAATCTATTGTTTGACTCGCTAAAAAGAATCTTACTAAAAAATCCATGCAATTCATTAGTCAGAAACAATAAAAGAAAGCTAATTACTTTGTAATTTACTTTTTATGTAAAAATTAGTAACGTGACTTTTTTCTCATGCTGGTCACGCTTTAACTGACGTCATTATATTAATTAGTTAACGGACCTTAATTTTTATTCTTATTTTTATTTTTTACTTTTTCACTATAACTTTATCTAATCTTTATCTACTATTATGTAACTATAAAAAAAATTCAGAATTTCATATCAATTTTTTTAATTCTTTATATATATAATAATATTTACCTCCCTGCATAGGTTTTTTAAAATTTCGCAATTATTATTATTTCAATTCATGCAAACTAATATATAACTGTTGTTGAAGTTGATGTCGTTGTTGTTGCCGTAAACGCGAGTCATAAAAAGTGGAGTTGCCAATAATAAACTACAGTATTTTCTAATTTTTTTTTAAAACAATACTTAGCTTTATCATATAATATTTATCACTTAATAAAAATAAAATAATAAAATCATAGATCTTTAAAGAAAATTGGCATTATGGCCTGGCTCAATCACAGAAATTTAGTAAAGTCTCCAACATTTTACTGATTCCTGATAATTTTATCTTACGATATACATGAAAAATTTTCATACTTGATGGAAATTTTTAAATATAAAAACACTTTATTATGTGTTATTTGCAACGTTAAGACAAATTTACAAAATTTGAAACGACGATTAGAGGAATATTAATCTTTAATGTAATAATTTGCTATATAGCAGGAAAAATAAAATTTTAACTTTCAACAATGCATGAATTAGTAAAAATGATAATATAAGTAATATATTGTTTTATTTCATGATTATAAAAAAAAAAGATAATTCGTATCTATAGTAAAATTTAAGCTTAGAATGCTAATTTTGCTATGTAATTTACCAAATTTTGCATAAAATTTAACTATAGTTAAATTTAATAATATTACTATCACCTATATCATGTAAATAAGTTCTTTCGCTAATTTATAAGTTTATTGGTAACTCATCATAGGCATAAATTTATGTAAATTTGTGAATTCAGTTATAAAATGGTAATAAACTATATAAATTAGGAAAAATAGGAATTCGTCCATTTTTTTTGTTGAACTAAATAAGTAGTGTAATGTTTGAGTTTAATATATCGTTAGGATTTTATAAAAAATGAATTAAAGTAGATGAGAATAATAATATCATATATTACTGGTATATTTTGAATATATTGCTAAATAAAAAGTATTAAACTTGGAGTATTGCTAAGCATCACCGTTGGTGATTATCACCTTACCAAAAATTGGGTAGAATTTTGGGCATGAAACTCCGCCACTAATATCTGCTAATGCTGGTACGGTGACGATCACTAGCGGTGATATTTAGCAATTTTCTTAAACATGGCCATAATTGCATCTCTGCATTATATACCGTAAACCTGACTAAGTATGATTATGGAGAGGCCATGGACAACTTCTAAAAATGAGTTTGTAAAAAAAAAATTGGCTAATGATAACGACTTTTGATTATTGATTGTCCTCCCATAAGCCATAACAAATAAAAGTCAAATCACATAAAATATAGTATTTCAAGAAACGTTTCCATTGACAAGGTGTATGAACTATAAAATGCTTTTAATTGTACATAAACATTATATCGTTACTGTATACCGTAAATATAAATTCGATAGCAATGATATTATATGTATAATCAAATATTTATTAGCCTGAAATATTCTGGGCGAGTTTGATCGAGTTTTCATTACTAGTACATAGCACGCACTTAGTTTACATGTATTATTGCACGCACTTGTAATAAATGCCGTGTATAATATAGGTTTAATAATTGAATTAAAAATAAAAAAAATTTTCATATTAGCAATAAAAAAAATAATATATAAATGACGAGAGAGATATCTACTTCGACCAATAAAGAACAACAATAATAACAAGAAAAATGGACGCGTACCTAAAAAATAAAAATCAATACATATATATATAAATACTATTATTAAAAGATGTAGGTGACTAGACATAAAAAATAAAATGATTATCTACTCTATAGTGGTCGTTAATGTTTTGTGTGATAGAACTTCTAAGTGATTTTAATATAAGCCACTATGTAAAAAGTTGGAGGATGTAAATAAAATAAACAAAAGGTCCGTATAGATTTTATAATTTCTGAAGTCAATATGTGGAATTCGTATATAACGTGTTTATTAGGTCTACGGCTTCTCCGATCTCTTGCAGAGGTAGGTATTGACGTGGCGCGATCACGTCTAAAATTTTGAGAGTAGGTTTTAAAATTATTTTCAGTAATACTATTATCTTTTTTCCATTCTTCCAATTCTTGGAACGTTTTTTCCATATATTAATTTTGAAGTATGAACTGTTTTCGTGTAAGAATGGTAATAAGAGTCGCTCAATATGTTTGATTTTGTTGATATGCATTCGGAATATGTGATAAAGATCATTAGTAACGTATGAGCGCAATAGTAGCACGGCTGAAGGATGAATGTAGGCCCATCTAAACGTTTTTGAGTATTTGACGCTATCAGAAATACATAGCGATAGTTTGTCAGCATTTTTGGTTAAAATCGCAATGAGAGAGTTACCGAGGTGTTTAAAACCAGCTCGGATGTCGTTGGCGAGCAATGGATATGACCATATATGATCATTGGTTTCTTCCGTGTTATTACATAACAAACATGTTGTTTGGTTGTTAATAAGTTTTGGGTAGTTACGGTTTAATATATCAAGAGTTGATAAATGTCTTAGTAGAATATTTAATTTTCCATGCTGTGTCTTTGGTTTGTTGAGAACTGGTGGCAGCTTCGTGATTGTTAAAATTAAACCATTTGCTTGTAAGTGACCAATTGATGATATGAGAAGCAGTAGCTTCCTTGATGTCCTTTAATGACGAGTGGTTCAAATGATCTTCAAGTCGTTTATAATTGGAGATTATACCAATACATTTTCGAACATCTCGATCGATGCATATGCTTGTTACATATCAAAGTATCAGTTTGTGATGGTAGTGAGTGTTGATGGGTGATATTAGTAGGTGTGAAGGAAAGTCCGCCTGGCTTGGGCATCCGCTATGTCGTTAAAAGTAATGTTTGAATGTGTTTTAACTTTGTGTAACTGAACGTGAAGGCGCAGTGTTTATAATATGGTGAATAGTCGACTAGAATATTGTTGTTAATTTTGTTATAACATCGGACGATTTATGATAAGCGTCTATGGCAGCTTGCGAATTTTGTATAGATGTTGTGTCATTTTTGACTTATTTGACAAAGCTTTTTTTGGGGGTTTTTTCCGTTAAATAACGTGACATATTTAATTCTGGTCAGAATTAAATGATCGGCATACAAAATATCCTTTTTTGGAATAAAGACGAGATTTAAACATCACACATACTATATAGGTGCGAGATCTAAAATTTACCCTAAAAATAAATATAAAATTTAAATATTCTTTTAATTATTTAGAATTTTATTGAATTTATAGAATTCTTGTATAAGGAGAAGAACCGGGTCTTGAAAATTTAATCATAATACAAAAAAGGAAAGGTTATTCTATGGTCACTCAGATAAATATAAGTTATTGAATTACTAGACTGATATCAGAACGCTTTTCAGACATATATACCAGATTTCATTTAGAACATATATATAAATGAACAGTCTCGTAAACTAAATCGTAAAAAGCCTTCATTGCAATTGAAGCTCAACCTCCAAATTTGCACAGTGTTTGTCAAGTTTAAGCTATTGATTTAATAATGATTTATTCTTATTCGATATTTATATTAATATTACTTTTAGTAGAATGACTAATAATATATAATCATGATTTGTAACATGTAAATAATATAATTTACTTGCGCTTTGGTGTGATGTGTTTGCGTTTTAAAATGACAATGAAACACTCCAATTATTATATAACTTAATTGTCCAAAAAATCATCAGATCAGACAAAAATAAATAATTTTTGTTTATTAACATTTATAACTAGATATGAGTAATCATTTAACACAATTAGATATTTCGTATATAGAGTATATGTGAAATTCATTATAAATATTTGTATGTCAAACAGAGTTGCCGTTCTGAAAATCATATAATAACACATTCGATGTAACTTCTAATTATTTTATTCTTTTCAATGGCATGCTCAAAGATATTTTTAGGAGATTTACCAGAGTTAATAAATGAAATTATTCAATATTTCCATCATGATTATAAAACATTACATTCATGTATATTAATTAATAGATTATGGTGTCGTTTAGCAATTCCTTTATTATGGGAAGATCCATTTTCAATTAAATTTCCTAAAAATTATCACTTTATTGAAATTTATTTACATAATTTGAATGATGATGATAAAACAAAATTAAATAAATATGAATTTAATAATGATTTAATTCCTTCAAATACATTATTCAATTATCCTAGTTTTATTCAACATTTGAATACACGTAAAATTATTAATTCTATTAACAATTGGAAAAGTGCTGTTGGAATTTCAACAACTAAAGCACGAAACTTTAAAAAATTTATTCATAATTTACTGTATCTAATATTCATTGAAAATATAGTAAATTTGCATAGTTTGGAAGTTGTATTATCCACAAGTCAAGAAGAATATTTTAATAATACTCTTAATTTAATTTTACAAAATCCAAATCTCTTTCGCAATATTAAAAATTTAAAACTAGAAGATTTAGGTGCTGAAACTTTAATAAAACTTTCAACACTTATCAGCTCTAATTGCAATTCAATTTCATCACTTTATTTTGATCTAAATAGTTACAATTATACTAAAAATAACAATCAAATGATCGAAAAATACTTATCACAAATTATCAATTCTCAAGAAAATCTTAGAAGGATTTTATTTGATTTTTATGAGTTTACTTTGTCATTGTTATCATTAAAAAATTCCAATTGTTCAAATACATTAAACACAATTGTATTTTGTTATGTTGATTTTAAAAATATAATTGGTTTAATTGAAATATTCAATCAATTGAATGTTTTAGAATCAATTCATATTATTTTTTGCAAATCTCTAGATACTAAATTTATTTCACAAATTATTAATATTACTAAACCATTTAAATTAAAATCTTTAATTTTCAATAAAATATTACAAATTGAATCATTAATATTGCTAATACAAAAATTTGGTAATAATATAGAAGATTTTGGATTTAGTGGAATAAAGGAATCACAACAATTACCTCAATTACTTGAATCAGTTATAATATATTGTTGCAAAATTAAATTTTTATATTTACCTGGTGAGCTAAATAGTCAGAATATTAATTTATTATTCAATTTAATTGAAAATATTAAACAGAATCTTAATTACCTTTTAATTGATACTTATGATAGTCATTTGAGTTCAATTATATTACAAAATTTAGGACAAATTCTTCCCTTTAAATTAGAATATTTGAAATTGAGTCTTGTAATTAATACAAGTGATTTCGAAACATTTTTAAAGAATTCACAAAATATTTTTATTAAAAAATTGGTAATTACCAACAATAGAATAAAAGACGAAATTGAAGATATTTTCCCTTATATAAAGGAATATATTATAAAAAAGAAAAGAGTTAAATATTTGGCTATTAGAGAAATTAGTACTTGTATCATGGATTGTGATAGTTTGTTTTCTCTGAAAGATAAAGTAGATATATTAAAACTATATGATATTCAAGTTTTAGATTATCATAGTTTATATATTAGTAATGTTGGGAAATTTATTTATGATAACAAATATTTTTATTAATATTTAATAATTTTAATAATGCTTTGCGAAATTTAATGAATTATTAATATTGTTAGTTGATTAGAAAACATCATTCAGAAATTATCTTGAATGTAAGAATTCGTAGTCCTGTGATGGGAGTGTAATCCTATGTAAGTTCGCGTAAATTTCATAAGAAATTTACAAAAATTAAATTTACACCTCTTCGTATGGTTACGCCTAAAAAATTTCCTGATGATAAATTTCAGTTTTTTACTTTATATTGAATTAATCTAATTTGCATAATTAGCTCAATAAAGTATTTAAATGCTTTATATATTATACTTGAGAAGAATTAAACACTAAAACTTTTAAGGATTTAAAAATTATAAGTTCACTTCTTTTATGATATTCTAATTCACTTAGTAGTAAAGATGTAATTTTACTTATGCTTTTACTAGTATATACCAAAGTATTAGATGCTGAATTATTAAAATTCCGGTTTAATGAAAGAAATGTACATATTTGTGACCTAAAGTTGGCAGATATAATAATTGAAGAGAACTTTTTGAAAAAAAACAATATTTTGAATTAAAAAATTTTAATGAAAAAATAATAGAATAGTTTAAATATGAATAATAAAATTTGTATAAAGTTCAGGTTCATTGAAATATGTAATCAAGTACGTCAGATTTTTGCTTATTATTTACTAGCCTTTGAATTGATGATGTAATGGTAGGTTTAAAATCTTTTTGTGCAATAACTTATTTAGAGAATGTGTTTGATTTATATAGGAAAATTATATTAGTTAGTCTTTGTTTTTATCTTTTGTTGGTTTAATAATGGTTCACTAAATTTGAATTAAACTTTAGAGGATTCACCGTTAATTTGGTCTATCTCATGATAAAAAATTTAGTACTACCATATATCCGCGTTGCACACTCTATATGCATCCTCCTTTATGTTTACAGTTCCTTTTTTACATTTCTTTATTTATCAGAAAGAGACATTTTAAATTATTGCTGAAAAAAAAATCTTTTTTAAAAGAAAAAAGGTAAAACATGTCCACAAGAATTTTATCCATGTCACGTGACTTAATTTCCCAATTTATTAGCGGATTTACGTCATTTGACCATAATAAATTATGGAAAACCCAGTTCTCTAATTAATTTACTACATTGATTACGCAAAATCCGCCGATATGAATTTCTGTATATATAGGCCAAAATCTTTATATCATAAATTGAGAGTTAGAGTCGTATATATGATAAAAGATTAATTTACTTAAAAAGCATTTATTAATTATGATATTCGTACGTAAATTACAAAATTTAAGATTATTAATAATTTTATTATCTGTTATCAAAACTTCCTATTCATATCCCGAACATAGAGTAGCGTTTTGTTCACGCACGAGGATATATTGAGACAAAATATGCATTCATAGATATCGATTGAAATGCGACATACTATTCATCAAAGACATCTCCAGATTGGTCAATAGGATATAAACTCTCTAATCTCTATACATGTACATTTCATAATGGACCATTTCTTTAGTGGGATGGCTGGGTAAAAGGAATAAATTGTAACGATATACATATTCATTTAAAAAATGCTGGTTTTGTTATTAAAGATTCTTTAACTTAGATATAGTTTATGGTAAATGTTATTACTGGGAAAAATAAATCAGATGACTGGTTATTCATGGAAGAATTTCACAGAAGTATTGTAATTGCATTTGCTCTAATAATATATCCTGTAGTAGTGATAACATTGCAGCTTGATTAAGATATTATAATAATTTTATTTATATTAATGAAAAGATCAATCTTATACTAATTAAATTTTATAGTTAAATTTATATAAAAAATATATATAATAAATATTAGTAGTAAAATATCCGATTTAAAATTCGAAAGTAATATTATTGCACCTTTTAGAACTTTAATTGATGATCTAAAAAATATAAAATATACACTAGTTTAATAAATAGAAATTTCTCAAAAATCATATGAAAAATTTCAACATATCTTAAATAATTTGGTCAAGTTAATCTATTGTAATAATCTCATGTGTTCTCATCCTATTTTAAAAATTAATTTATCCTTCCAAAATAGTCTATAATTATGAAAACAAAGTATGTAAAAAAGAATCGGCATCTTGCTTTAAAATTTTTGTTTCTCATTTATAAAGGATAATACTGCAATGGTTCCACAATGTTTTCTGATCACTATTTGAATATTTTCATTGAGTTTAATATAAAGCCTCTTATTATCTAAGTAATTGTAATAGTAAGTACTTTGAAATCGGTACTATGTTATTTTGATAAAATTAAATTGGCTAATAATAATGACTCACAAATGGCTTAAATAAATTGTGGCTTCAAATTAAAGAATAATCATTATTTATCATGAAACAAAGAAATAAACAAAACATTTAACATCCAACCCGATGTCATACAATATCTATATTATCGTACGGTCATGCTTTTATTAAAAAACTTTTTCTCTTACATTCTTATTACCAAAAATTAATTCAAACAATACTACCTTGTAATTATTATATTATATTGGTTATTAAACTTTATTATAATTTATATCATTTAAAATATATTTGAAATTTTTTTCAAATTGGAAAGCTTTTTTATGTAACAATATATTACATCAAAAATTGTATGTAAATGTCGTCCCATCGATGATTACGGAAAATGTAACCAAAAATAGTCAAACATTTTAAAATAATTTACATGTGAAATCAAATTGATGACATTGTACAAGTACCAGTCGTAATACATTTCATTCTACTATATAACATTTTATAGGTGGTTATAGAAATTTTCTTTTATCTGAAAAATTTTACCGATCAATTTTTTTTTTTTTATAAAAAAAAAATAGGTTTTAATAAATAAAAACTGCACTACATAATTGTGAAGTTGTTATTCTTATTAGCGCAACTTAACAATTTCAGTAGTATCTTTAAAATCATACGAACTTTAAACTTTTATATAAATGACAAATGTATTTAACAACTGCATTTTTTTTTGCAAAAAAAAGAAATTCAAAAAAAAAAATAATTAACTTATCAATTGTTTTTCAATTTCATCATGCCAGTCCTCAACATTATCAGAAATTGGACTATCCCAAGAACTTCTTGTTTCGGCTAGGAATTCTTTGCTCGGACAAGATCCACCTGAAAGAGGAGTCATTCTTGCCGAAAACATCTCACTTGAAAGCTTTCAGAATTTTTGTGAAACTGAACCAAAACTTCCTGTAAAAATCCGATTAGTTAATGGAACAATTGTAGCCTATGAGGTAACTTTAACTCCCCATGGAAGTGCAGTGTGTAATGTTAATGGATTGGCGTATGATTGGAGCAAACAACTACTTGGTGCATTTGCGGAAGATCTTATTGTGGGCCCAAATAGCTACTTTATTGCTGACTTAACATTTCGACCAAGACGTCTTCCACCTCCACCACCCGATCAAGCATGTAACTCATCGGGATATGCTTACCCAAATATGGTAGTTGAAGTCGGCTACATAGAATCAATCCAAAGCTTACATGAACTGGCGCCATTTTACCTTTCTCAATATACTACGATAATGATTTATCTAGCCATTAAACTATATCCTTCTCATACTCACCAATCTGGTGAACCTGGTGTTAGTCCAATGGTTGCAATGCTATATCAACGAACAAGCCAAACTCCATATATTCCAACTAGAATAATATCATTTGGGGATGCACCACTCCATAACAGTACGGTGGATTTATTTATTAATATGGGTGTTCCTAGTGCTAACTTCACTGGTTTTGGAAGACAAGGAGCACCTCCTTGTAATGCATTTAATTTACCAGTTTATCAGTTACCTATTCCTGCTGATGAGATCTTCCATCGTACTCCGAGTATCCTTCCTGATATTGTATTCAATTTGGATTTGTGGAAGGTGCTAGATAGGATAATTAATCCCTAAGAGTATTAATATATTAAATTTTAATTGTTATGGCTTCTCTTTTATTGAGTACTAATTTTTAAATATATTAATAAAGTAAATAACTGAAGTATAAATTTTATTGTTTAAACTTTAAACTAACATAATATAGACTAGCGAGTTTCAAAGGAGAAATAATAACATGAAATCATATTCCGTTGGTTTTTAGATCTCTGTCTTTCCCATTCAGTATCGTATATTTTGCTGTAATCTATCCAATCACCTTTTTTATCGTAAATAAAAAATTTTCCTATTGTACTATCATATCTTTATCGAGTGTTCGTTCCCAGCCCAAGATTAAGAATTTTGATAGTACACATCTGTATTAAAGTTTGCCTTTCATACTCATTATCCTCAAAATATCTTTAAATTAGAATGATTTCTTACACAGATCCTGTAATCAAAAATATCAATAAAAAGCAACAAATTATCAATTGGTTCTATTTTTCCTAAGAGCTTCCAGACACAAAATGTGAAAGTTCTAGATTAATTAGTTACAGGCTGAACTCCTTATGGTTCAAATTACATGACTGCGAAGTTTTATAGACTCATTACAATTTCTTTCAAAACTGGACTAGTTGTTATGCTGCGCAAGTAAATTCACATGTTTATTATAAACTTATTTAATAAGCTATATAAAATTTTTTATCTTACATACAGTACATGTGAATCTCAAATAATAAAAATGTTAAATATTCTTAAAGAACTTTTAATGTGAATTATTGTTATAAGTTATAATCTATTTTTATTTACAATAAACGCGTTTTTTTGTGGATTTTTTATAATATTAATTTTTTAACACCAATTAAATGAAACGAGACTTGAATGTCTAAGAACGGTCATCTAACAAGTATAAAACACGCGTTTCATACTGCAAATATTCTTTATCTTGCATTACGCACTTAGACATGAATTTACATATTTACATTTCACACTTGCTACCTACTAAAATGATGGTTATCGGACTTTTTTTTTAATTAGAAATTTAAAAAATCACATTAAAAATCTATAATCATAATTCATCACCAATTCACTATCAACTAAAATAATTTATCAATCTCGATTAGAAAAAGAATAATAATATAAATAAGTTGTTTCAAAAAACTAGTATCAATGATACAACGTCAATAAAATGAATTTTATGATGATTCAGTTTTCTATTATAATTTATTTATGAATTTTTGAAGTAATGATGGATTTGGATATTAAATTTAAACTTATTTAACAAATTGCAAATGAAAATAAAAATATAGATACTACTTCAATAATTAATATGTATTTAATGATGTTTAATTCTTTCTACTTTAATGTAAAAATTGGATGTAAAAGTAATAATATAAACATTTTTATATTTTTTATATAAAACCAGATAAATAGTCCAATAAATAAAGAATAAATAATAGAATTATCAATCCTCAATAATACATTCAAAACATTGAGTCTCAGTAAGTTTTCAACTTGTATAGTATGCTTGTGGATGAGATTGTACAATAAAAGTATTTGCTATTTCTTGTGTTAAAGCTTTGTCTACAAATTCCAGCATATCATTTTCTAACAGAAGATATAATTTCCATCTCTGCTTACACTATAGTATTCATCAATACTAGTTCATTCAGATATAATATTTTCAAGCATTATTATGGTTGGTCTGTTGGTCTATTAGAAGAATTTGAATCCCAACATTTTTTCATTAAATCTACATGGCATTTTGGGGTATTTTTTATAATTTCAAGATGTTTCTTATCACAAATACTCAAGTTACGATGATGGTCATGTGCTTCAAATGGAGGAATTCTCGCATCATTGAAAATTATAAATATCACTTGCTGGACAGCTGGAGTATAAGTTTTTTTCTTAGTATTTCAGGTGCCATATAAGACCCACAAATTTCATTAACTTTATATCAGAATCTTGTAAATCACTTATAGGTTTAAAGAATCACCATGAGTTAAATTTGATTCATGGATTACTTTAAGTCCTAATATAATTTTTTTTTAAAATAATTATAACTTATCTTGCCATTTAAACATAATTATATCAGATAAACATTTTCTCAAACTTCCTTTTTTTTGCATAAATCATTACTGTTATATAATTTAAATTATTTGGATCTTGGGTAAATCCAAAAAATTGAATAAATTTTGAAAATGATTTTTTCTGACAATTATAATGATATTTCCACTATATAAACAATAAAAAATTATTAAATTTTTGCAAAAAGAAAATAAATTTGCTTATTAAATATAAATAATATACCTCATCCAGAAATTTACTATTTAAACTTTGATTGATTAAGTGAATATATATAAATATATATATATTCAATTTGGTTTCCATTTGGTTATTTTAAAATTTTACTTTACTGAAAATATTTTAATAAAATTTTTTTTAATATTTCAACTTTCAATAGTTACTAAAAAGGAATATTTTAACCAAAAGTAGAAATTAAACAAAAAAAAAAATATTTTTTTGGGCCGTATTTTTTCCGATTCTGTGTTGAGGAATTTCAACCATATCAAATAAGTATGTCCCGCCATAAGCACAAAAAGTATATACAAAAGTGATCATTTGAATATATAAAAATGTATATTCAGATATTAACTTTTGAAAATAACCACTTTTGTTATATTCATATGTATAAAAGTACTAGTCATTTGAATATACAAAAGTTATCATTTGAAATAGTAGATTTCTAATTAACCAGTAAATTTCTAAATTAAGTAATAAAAATTTTAAACTGGTAGCATATTAATTTTTGTATATTCAAATGATATTTTTGTATATTCAGATAATAATTTTTGTATACTTTTTGTGCCATAAATAAGTAGTCACTTTTCTATAGTATACCAGTATTTTACTCCAATTAAATTGATAAATAAATGTAAAAATTTCTCATATATTTACCAAATGTTCGTTCCCACCTCAGGATTAAGAATTTCGATAGTACACATCTGTTCTAAAGTATATACACCTTTCGAATTAATTATCCTCAAAAATATTGACGATAACAAAGTAATATCCGAGTCCGGGCATGATTGAGCCTGTAATCAAAGATATATTAATAAAAAGCACAAAATCATCAATAGATTCCATTTTTACCACTTCCAGACGCAAAGCGTTACACATTGTTAACCGGTTAAATTCATGGTTCAATATTATACGATTTCAGAGCTTTAAAAGACTCGTTAATTGATGCAAATTCCGATAGGTAGTAATGTCTGTTATGCCCGTTCAATTTATTTGATCATTGGTGAAATTTCTGCACCTCTGTAGTGTAGACCGACACGTGCGGAAACTTGTAGGCCTAATAATAACATAGGAAAACCATTTCCTATGATCATGATGATCAAAAATGGCCGTATTTCAAGCATGATATGCTCAGTGAAATTTATAGTTTATTGTGCGGATAACGGAACAATTATTTATAATCAACTAAAGAAATGAAACTCTTTTATACTCGATTCCTTTGCAATGAAATATAGAAATTTAACCAAGTTTTATTAAGCCCGAATAAAAATTACGTTATCTCATTCTTCCAAATAGTGCATTATTAACCTTCGTTTTACCTTCGTTTATAAGTATGAATTTCGTCGATTGATAGCTTAATGGTCTAATATTTATTAATACTTTGGCGCAAAAAAAAACTATTGCAATTTGACGATATATTTTTATGATAATTCAAATAGTCCTTCGTGACGATTATTAGAAGAAATGCTTATCAAAGTTGCAATAGTGATCACTGGAATTATCTGTTAGAGTGTAAATGATTTAAAAATAAATTATACCATATATGTATTTATTTAATAATTTTTAGTGATTATTTTAACCATTTTCATGCTAGTTACTTTCCAAAATTGATAATTTATAAACTTTGTGGCTGAATTATTACAAATGAAATTTAAGCTTAAGTAATATATTTAAGTGCTGACTAAAATTTTAGTTAAACTATATTGAGTTATTATACAAAAATAAATCAAAATTTCTTGAAAAAATAATAAGCTTATCTAATTAATATTATAGTTTTATGAGTACTTGGTTACGGCTAAAATTTAAAAGATCGTCTTATCATATTTTATTTATAACCATATCATATAATAAGCAAACATATTGTAAATTTCAAAAATATTTAAATTTAATTATGAATGATAATGATAATGGATCCCCCTAGATTAAATTTAATAAAAGTATTAAATATTTAATTAATGAAGGAATTATGTCTAAAATTTATAATATATTATTATGTTATTATGTTATTATGTTATTATCATCAATTCAAAAATGGTGCATAATGAGATCCCGAGGTTGGCATAACAAATAATATACCTTCAAATTAATTTAGACGAATAATTAAGTTAAAATTATAAATTCTAAATATAAACTCTCATAATTATACTTTCAAAATAAAAATATCGTGAATTTAATCTTAATTCAGGCCGGAATTAATGATTTATAATTTCGGCCGGAGTTAATGAATTTTAAGTCGATCAATTTAATTAATCCAGTCTAATGTTAATTGGAAATAGGCTTTTGGTCATGCATGAATGAACGTGAGGTAATCTTGAGGTCAGAAAAAATTTTACCGATTTCTTGCATTAACCAAATTTAGTATTATACCAGCCCTCCCCAATATTTTTTTTATCTAAATTTATTCCGATTTCAGTTACGCCTGTTACGCCTTGTAACGTTCGATTAAAAAGAACCAGATTTTCATGGCTTTTATTAAAATTCTAACGTTCTTTCACTCGTTTATTAAAAAAATTATTTTTATTTTTTTTTTTAATATAAATTTTTTTTTTTTTTTTTTTTTTTTTTTT